AGGTCCTATGCAATTTTCCCGTAAGTTCAACGGTTTAGAAGTTATTGAGGAAAAACGAAATTTTTTGTCAAAAGTTGGCTGTTTCGACGGTGGAATGGTCGGATTTCGTCAATGCCAATAAAATGCCGTTTAATCATAGTTAACGCGTTAAATATCGAAGTTAGAAGGAAAACAACTTTTATTTGAAGTATTTTTCTATATTTTGAGAAAAAATAATGTTCAATTTTTCCGAGATTTTTCTAAAATACATAAACTTTTGGGATTGGCTGTGTAGCCAATACATTCTTAAACGGAGAACTCGACTACTCTATCGTAATTGAGTTATATCTGGAAAAATTGTTTTCACGCTCGATCGCTAAGATTGTACGTACTCGTAGAACGTATAGGAAAAGATCGATCGGTTGTAGATTCTGTAACCATCCATCATTCACAACCGTTGTCTATTATAATCCGAGAGTACACTTTCATTCCATTAACCCTGGGACTATCAGGGCGCGGTCACAGTAAGCTTTGCTATTACAACGTTTAGCGTACACGTCTGCAAACTTCGTGTACTCTTGAAGCCTATTGTTGTACCTTGGATGAACTCCAAAATCTTCGATCACCAAAGACAATAAACCGATTCGCGTCTCGAGCGAAAAAACGTAGCGTTCTGTGTGGATTTATGATTGGCAAATCAAACACAAATATTGAAATTATACATACGCAGATAATTAATGAATTAATCGTTATTAACATTCGCGTGTTAAGAAATGTTTTTCATCGACGATGGATCATCAGAGATAGGATTTGCAGCACGTGATTGTACCACAGCTAATTTGAAATAAACACGTACGTAGACGTGTGCGCTATAGAGTTCGCTTAATCTTAATCTGCTAATCTCCAAAGAGGATAACAGATAATTGAATTTCTCTGTTTACTTATTTACCGTCCCGATTCAGTTCTGTATCATAATCAACTTAGTGTACGCACAGTTTCTTCCTTTGAGTATATATACATGGACCGCCAGTTGCATAGGCTTCTAATGTTAAGAAAGCATAGTCAACATCAGGTAGCTAAGCTCTGCTTTCGGGACCCACACGTGACCAAGCAGCCAATAATATATATCGCATATGCGAACCTACACCACTGAGGCTTACACGGCTTTACACGTTTAGTTCTTAAAACGTGTAGGTCCCGAGCACAGTAGCGGTATCATATGTTGGCTACGTTTTTTCTAGCGGACCAGAGCGGTCCATATTTGGTATATATAGTCAAAGGTTTCTTCGGCCTTGAATTTTGAAAATACTAGAATTCGAGATAAAAGATTAATGGGTTTGATTCAGGAACTAGGCGACACTGATCCCCTGACTCTGGCCCAAGTTCACGAACACTTGGTGCGAAGTCCGCCACCAGCCTCGTGGCCCCACGCGACTTTCCATTTCCCTCATCATAATCAGCCGACGTCTGGGAAAAGCGACGTGTTGGCCCATTATAAAAGTCCCGCGAAGCCGTCCTCGTGTCGTAGCAACGATCACGAGATGTCCAGGAGCGAACCGTACACGGATCTCAGAGGTATGAGTCTGAACGATTGAAAATCGCCTTTCCTACGGCAATCCTCATTTGTTCGATTGCGCATATAAATAACAAAACTTTATTACACACTTCACCTTTACGAAAGGAAACGTTGCGTGTTTCCCACACATTTAGTTAGGTTTATATCCCCTGTTTCCTATCTTGATGCGATCCTTTGATAAGCATTAGTTTCTCATCATACAATCGATTGTTTCATTTTATAATTTTGCAACCGTTTTATTTAACGCGATATGACTGAACTGCCAAACTAATTATTACGCGTTCTGCTTAAGCAAATATAATTTAATTACGATTCCGACTCGGAAGCATCTCCGATAATTAATCAGAAACCGGATAGCACGGCGCGTGCCATATTTTAATCCCCGAGCAGCACGCGACACGAAAAGTGCATTAAGCGGAACGGGCAAAATCGAAGCTAGTTAGAAATTGAAATAAATCGAGTGTCTCATTAGAATTTCACAAAGGGAGATCGATAGGTGAAGGCGTCAAGGCCGGTCCAAGGTCACTTTAAATAGATCCTCCTAAATAGAACGTGCATCTCCTTCTTAACGGGGTACACGCGGACGCGAGCCACCGCGTGTACAGACACGCGTGGCACGTATCCTCTACCAGTTCGTAATCACATTTCCACTTAGCGGGAATTTTTCGACCCGTGAATAAATTAAACGCAAATTACCGATGCGCGTGCCGACACTCCAGATCCATACGAACGAACCTCTCGAGGGATCCTTGAAAACGAGGCTCGAAATCACGAGGCAGTACGGCACGACCGAGGGGGATATGGAAATCCGGGTGAACGCGGACACGCGGGTCCTAGTCGGGAATATTAGCGAATTCATGAATTCGTGACGCGACGGTGGCGGAGGCGGACACTCGTTCCACGACCTTGATGCACTTCACCGCAGACGTATAGACGCGATCGATTTCACCTTATTTTTAACCCCGCATAAATTAATGGTTCGTGACACGGTGGGCGTGCCGCGAGACTTTCGATCGACTCCTCATCGATTTTTCCACCGGAAAACGTTCGTCATCCATCGAAGATCAGGCAACAAACCAGATTCACGCGATGAAAATTAAATTGTACATCTATTCTATTAATTATAACAGTGATTAATCTGGAACTCGTTAATCAAACATAAATGAGACGACTCTTGTACTGCATGATACATCTAGATTTTAAAGAGATCAAGTTCGTGGCGCACTCATGGGTTCATAAGGGGTTACCCTGCATATCAATAATATGAGTATGAAAAAAACGAGACAAGATAAAAATCGATCGACATTCGTGACAGTGGCGCGTGACGCACAGCCCTCGGATCTGTACTTCCCTCGTTTTATTTTCTTGTTAGTTGATTTACTGACAGTGGTGTTACAAAAAAAACGTGCGTGACTGATCTAATCGGGTCGAACTTGTCGCATTGCGCGATTTTTTATGCCGACGTTCCGTGGGTTCGCGTACACGCACGTTGAGCATCCCATATTTCATTCAGGCCAATAACCCCGGTTCGTTTATTATGTACCCTTTCTTGTTTGTAAAACGCGCAAGTAAGATGGAGAAACGTAGAGCACCGAATGATTTCGTTGCATAGATTTTACGTATTACGTTTCAT